TTTTTTGTAGTTCTTCTTTGCCATTAAACCAATTGAGCGGGCAATCAAGACGGATATTGCAAGGGAAAGCAGACCTGCATGGGAGATGCGGGATGCAAGCTTGGCCAGCCGCAAGTTCTGATTTGGCTTAGTATTTAGTTGTATTATGGATGTATGCCTTGATGCAGTTTTTCCTCTGTTCATGTTTTATCTACCCGTTGCAAGTAGTTGTTCCAATATTCTGCAGTAGCGACAATCTGCGGCAGTGGATTGTTTTAGCGTTTGGAGAGAACTGGATTTGTTGTTTGGCTTATGTTCTTCTGTTGGATCATCGATTTTGCTAATAATATAGTAGGTATTTCTTCTGTTCAAGATTTATTTGTTTGATTTTGCTTTGAGAGTATGACAAGTCAACATGTGTCAAGGGTGAGAGCTGATAGTGAAGCTTATTTTTTCTCGAAGGAGTTCTTGCTCAAATTTCAAATGCTATTTTGGAAAATAGCGTCCTCATATTTGTTAAGAGTAAACGACATCTTTTAGAACAGAGTAATTTTGCTGTTGAGATGAGGAGAGAATATTTTATCGCCAAATTGGATAAAATTGCTCGTCTGTTGGCTGTTGATAGTAAGTTACTTGAAAAGTAAATACATTCTTACAGATTAGGCTTAAGACTCAAATCTTTTTTGTGTAGTATTCCTACAAATTATAATTACTTCTGTGGCTACTTTTTTGTAGCATTATACAAATGTAGATTTTGAAGTAGTAAAAGATATAGGTCGGGTGATTGCAACCATATGGTATTTGGTTGTGTTAATAAGATTGACAATTTATCATTATGCTATTTTTAGCTGTAATTATATTGTGAATAAAGGAATGAAAAAAAGAAAATTAATTATCATAAATTTATTATTAAAAAATTTAAAATCATAACATTATGGTTTTTTTTTAAAGTTAAACAAGTATTTTTAAATACCAAAAACAATTATATATATTTAAATTTCATAACATATCTATTTTGGTCATTTTACATACTCACAGCAATTCCACATCAAAATTTACCAAACGCTATTTACTGATTATGGAATCAGCACAGCTACTATAATTACAATTTACCAAACACTTAGCTACTTTTTGAAACAGCTACTTTTTCTTTCAGCACAGCTAAAAGCACTTTTTTTAAAATCCACAGCATTACCAAACTAAGCCATTGTTGGCTTAAGTTTGCTACCGTTCTAACAGCCCGTTCAGTTCGCTGATTTAAATTTTTAATTTGAGTTGAAATGTAATTTTATGTGAAAATTTTCTACTGAAGTAAAAAAATTAGATATAATTATTTTTTAGAACTTTTTATTATAACAAAACTCGAATTATAAACTCAAAACATGGCCTAAGAAAAAACGACATGCATATAATTAGCCACACGATAATCGTTTCCTAGTATAAACCCGAGATATTGGTTTTTAGCGTACTTGTCGTTCATTGTATTGAAAAATCGACATGCATTTTGTATTATTGTCGTCATGTACTTTTCCCCAAACGACATACGGACATCCCTTCTTTTGGTAAGCTTGCAGTTTGCTTATCAAGTTTGTTGTCGTTAAGAATAAAATAACAAGTTGTTTGCTATTTGAAATCCGAGTCCTTTTAATTTTGATGTCGCTCGTGTTTAAAATGTCTTATAATTTACGTTCCCAAGTTTGCTGTCTTAAAGGAGAAAACAATTGGTGCGTTTAGAACTTATTTTAAAATAATTTTATTTTTTGTATGAAAATAAAAATGAAAACGTTTTTAATCTCATACAGAAATTATTTTTGAAAATGTATTTTGTAGTTTTATCAAGAGATTATTTTCAGTACAAAAAAACTCATTAATGTATTTCTCTCTATGCTCGGGGGATGAGAAAACGAAAATAAAAAATGAAAAATAACTAAGGGTGCATTTGGAACTTGTTCCAAAATGATTTTATTTTTTGTATGAAAATGAAAATAAAAACGTTTTCAATCTCAGACAGAAATCATTTTTAAAAATGCATTTGGTAGTTTTATCAAGAGATTATTTTCAGTGTAAAAAAACTCATTAATGTCTCTATTTCTCTCTCTGCTCGAGAGAGGAGAAAACGAAAACAACAAATGAAAAACGATTAAAAGTTATTTTTCATTCCTCTCTCATTTTACACTAAATTAAAAAAATCGTTTTCATTTTCATTTTTTGTCTTTATTACGCCAAACGCCGTTTTGGAAACGTTTTCACTTTTTCTTTCTCGAAAAACATGAAAAATGAAAACGGAATCAATTCCAAAACACAGACTAAAAGTCATTTTTCATTTCTCTCTCATTTTATACTAAACTAAAAAATCATTTTTATTTATGTTTTTTATCTTTAATTGTGTCAAACGCCGTTTTGGAATCATTTTTATTTTATTTTTTAGAAAAACGTGAAAAAAAAACAAGAACAAACCCAAACACGGCAAATATTTTGAATGCTATATAAATTCTCTCGTCGTTTGTTGGCAAAAAAAAAAAAACCTGTCGTTTCATATTAGGAAGTTTGTTGTCTTTTCGTTCTAAAAAATACCCCGACTCCTGTCTTTTTTAGAAGAAAGAAAGTATCATGGTGGAAAGAAATCCAATTGATGTCTTTTTCTATAAAAAAAAAAAAAATAAGGATAAATTATGTAATGTGGTGTTAGAAAAATAATACATAAAATTTATTTAGCTGCATGCAAGAAAAATAAAGACATAAAAATCATAACATCATGAGACTATAAGCCTACAACCAACTCCTTTCTAATGTACGCTTTTTCGTCGTTTGTTTGTAAGAGAACACAACAAACACACAGTCGTTAATCGTTAATTTCCTAAAACTTTTGGTGACGTTTTAGGACAGAAACGCCTTGTCGTTTTCGCCTTAGTTTTTTATGTCGTTCTATCATAAACGACATGTAGTTTTAATCCAAGACATTCGTAAATAAAGGCCATCTTTTGTCGTTGTTCCTCGGACCATCAAAGGCATATCTCCACTGTCGATGACGGTGGCGTCGTCAACTCCAGCTAAGCCCTAAGCCTACGAAATACCTCTACTACATCACTCGGAACGACGTCGTTTCCAATCTTCTTTTACCAGTGACCTTTCATTCTTCCTATAAAGTTCAATTCTGAACCACGAAATCTCTGATTTAGGGTTTGACTTCGATTATATTTTCAATGTAATGTTGTGATTTCTATCGTAAAAAGGCTTTGATTGACTTTCTCTTGCTGAAGAATGAGAGAAGCTCCGTCTTTGATCTCCTTGTGTTTAGAGGCAGTGAAAAACGAACTTTTTCGAGGTAATGTTTGTACGAAAAAACGCTTTTCCCAGTGATTATTACGCTTGCGAAACGTTTTTCTTTCTACTATCAGTTTTGAATTACGTTTTTCTTTATAGGAGATGATATTCTGTCAGTTGTGTACGACCTACCGTCGTACTTGTTCGATATTTTGGTTCTTCAACTACCGCCATTGCCGTTGCAGAAGCTACAAATGGCGATGTAAGTCACTTTTCAATGCATTATGGTTTACGCTTTTTGAGGATTTAGTCTTTATTGGGATTGTCTTTTCACTCTCTTGTTTGAGCCAGGCCTTTTACGGATCGGGATGACCATGAATATGACGACGATGGCGGCGGGAATGGGAGAAAACGTGGAAGGTTGGGAAGAATTGCCTTTTTTTTTATGATAAATTGTGTGTTTTATGTAAGAAAAAGAAGAAATCGAATTCTAGAATGGAAATGTGAAGAGGAAAAAAAAGGGAAAAAAATAGTTATGGTGGCTTATGATACATATTTTTTTAAAGGTTTTGTAATTTCGACAAGGCATGGAAGAATTTATTTGAGTTGCATTGGCCATATCTTGTGGATGACATTCAAACCGTTGATTGGCATCAAAAGTATTGGGAAGCTCATTTGCAGAAGTATTGTGATTCTCTCTTTGATCATATAACCAATCATTTTTGTATTACTTTACTCGTTACAATTATTTTTGTAGCTGATTTATATGTATATTTTTATAAAGAACAGATGCCTAGATGAAGCAGCAGAGATAGCACTCCTCCCATCTTTTAGTGGATGTCTTGGTGAAATAAAAATTTCAGGTAAATAAAGTTTTTTTCCCGCCTAAAATTATCGTGAAAGTTAGGACATATGAAGGGAATTTAATGAGAGAATGAATAAAGTTTGCGGTGAAGACGAACGATGTTGACAAACTATAGGTAGCTTGCATTCTTAAGTATCAAATATGGTTGTCATGGTTTAGAGGGTACTAGTGATAAACAGTTAATTGCGATTTGCGTCTAATGTGAATTGTGAATCACCTAAATTAATAAATGAAATTGGTTTCTTAATTAGCTGAATTGGATTAGGGCTTAAGCTCATGACTGATTTTTTATTGTTCCTTGACATACTTTGTTACATGCAGAGACTATATTGAAAGATATTGGTTATGAAGGTTGCATAAAATTTTCTACTTGTGACTATTCAAAACTGTCTTACCATTGCCAAGAGTATGGGCAGTATGCTAGGTAAATTATGTGCATTTGTTCACTTGACTGGATAGATACTTCTTCTGCTTTCTCGAATCCATGCAACGACATATTGCCGGGAGTTAGGTTCTCACTCTGCCAGCTTATTTTTGTGCAGATGTCTAAGACTTCAAAATGTTCTATGCTGTCCAGAAACTTGTGTAAGTTTCTTATTCCATATATGAAAATGGAAACTTATCCATAAAAAATGTGAGCATTTAGTGTATGTATTTGGTGAATATCACTTCTTTTTAAGTTTTTTTCCGTAAAAAGGAGTATGTGTGGTCTCACCTTTATTATGAGTAGTAGGATGAGGCTCAAATAGTAACTTCTGTTTTAAACAGATATGGTCTTGTTCTTAATTTTGAGTGCTGTCATGCTGTAGAGTTCAGGTCTACTGTCCTATTTCCAGTTCCCTTGGATGTCCCTCCAATCAATTTTTTGCACCATTTAATTATGAAGTGTTTTGAGGATTTAGTTCCTATTTATGTGGCCAGGTTGTTATATTTACAGGACATGGCAAATAATTATTGGAGGGACGACTAAGGGGACAGAAAAATAGGGACAGCAGGACTCCATGCTGTAATCTTATTGTAGAATAGTTCTGTGTACTTCAGTTTACATGTTTGAGCCTTGAGGTTATTCTTGATAAGGAAGTGCTTCCTTTAGCGTTCCTTGCCCCCCTTCCTCCTCTCTCTATGAATGCATCGTTTAGCCTTTTAAATTACAGTATCTGTTCTGTTTCCTGGATGAGTAAAATCCATATGTGATGTGTGCGTATACAAACATATTAGTATTTGTACTCTGATATAAAAGCGCTTTCTTGTTAAAATAATGGCTATACTGCTCAGTTTTACACCCTTTCTTACAAATGTGATACAGAATTTACTGAGGGACAGCAAGTTTGAGAGCTTGGACCTGTGGTGGATCAGATCCGAGGAGCACGTAGGCTTAGTTCCTTCTCTTTGTATATACTCTTAATACATAGGTTTAAATCCGCATCGTGTGAACACGGTTTCTAATAAGCTCTAAAAAGGTCATATAAAATTTATAAAATTGGTACCAAACTCATATTGGTAAATATCTGCACTAGATGTTCATGCTGTTTAACGCAGAAGTAAAACATTTCATTATCATGTGGTTATTTCCAGATAATATCATTATTGACATAGCTAATATAGAATTTATTCGTCAATATATAACCTTTTAATTTGTAGGAATGCTAAATTTCTGCCTTTGTGCTGATTCACTCATTTGGCCTGCATCTATAGATTGGGGGATTATGCAAACTTCTGAGCCAGAACAGTGAAAGTTTAACTTCACTTAAGTTTATTCACTGCAAGCTCTCCTCAGCTTCAGTTGAGAAAATTTGTAGTTCTCTGCTCACAAACATTGTGCCCACACACAGGATACAGAACTTCTCAGTAACTTCTACGAGCTTTCTTGAAACAAATCTAGTTTCTTTACCTCGTGGACTTGTATCACTTCTGTCTTCAGGAAGGTACGAAAGTTATTCCAAATCTAGGCTTCTCTTGTTTTATGACTTGTGTGATGTGCAGGTAGTTGATTTTGATATATGGCACTTAGAACACCTCATATGCCATAAAAAGATAGCTGTGTGAACAAGTATTGCTTCTGTTAGTAATCTCCTTATTGATTTTGTTTTTCAAAATATCTGTCGTCGCCTTTCAGTTTTATACTTGGTAGAGGACAGTGAGGACTAAGGTATCCTGTAAGCTATTGAGAAGTCCTGAAGTCCTAAACTAGGTTGCACGTGCACCAGGATCTGCAGCTACACCCTCATAGACAACCAAACTAGTTGTCGTGGCATACGTTTAGGCTGTGAAAGCTATGTTGAGGCTTAGCTATCTCTTGCCCGGTTTTAATGAATTTTTATCTTTATGATCTTTTTATCCCTTCGCCCCCAAAAATGATAATAAAATAAAAATAAAGAATAAGAATAAAAATAAGAAGAAAAGAAAAGAAAAGTCATTCCATCAAAGTGCCCTATTGCATTTGACATACAGGTAGAATTTCATAGAATTACATGTTTGTGTTTGAGCATGCAATTCTTTTAAATGTTGGAGCCTTCGTCTGTTTTTAAGTACATAGTTGCATCCGTGGTAATAACATTGAATATTCAAACATCTGGGCGTACATAGTTGCATCCGTGGTAATAACATTGAATATTCAAACATCTGGGCTTACATAGTTGCATCCGTGGTAATAACATTGAATATTCAAACATCTGGGCTTACTTTGAAAGTCTATTATTCTGTTTCAGGTCTTTGTGTTCACTAAATTTCTCTTGTGACTACCTATGCCGAAACTTCGCAAAAATGGTTTTTGACACCCTTTGTGATGCTTCGTCTGGTCTATCTATCCTTGACCTCTCTGAAAACAACGTGAGGTGTCCATTTCCATTAAGTTTCATGATTTTGCCTTTGTACGATTATGTAACATGAATCTTTGTACACTAGCGCAGATAACAGGCTGGCTTTCTGATTTCAATCAGACATCTTCAAACAACCACCCAACATCCTTAGGACTTGGCAAGTCCTTGCGATCATTACGTGTGCTCAATATAAGGTACCGTTGGAGAGTTACTTTTCCTTAAAGCAAAATTTTTTGCCTTCAATATATTTAAAATCGTAGTAGTTAGGTTTATCACTAAACAGGTGCTTGGCATCCAAACCATCCTTGAATATGACTCAGTGCCGTTGGTTTTACTTTGAGCTGATACATGGAGCGGAGACTTAAAAATATATATTTTGGAATTGTTTTCTTTTTGCAATGTGTGTGTATTTTTTTTTTCTTCTGATTTTAGGGGAAACAATTTGGACAAAGACGATGCAGTTGGCCTTAGATATGCTCTTGTTCATATGCCTAACTTGGAGGTTCTGGATATAAGTGATAATCCGATTGAGGATGATGGAATTAGGTCAGTAAAAATTTATTCTGCGTGTATACTTTTAGCTTTGTGCTTGGCTGGGTGCACAATTTCACGAGCTATTACTGAATGTTACAGGAGTTTACTTCCCTATTTTGTCGAAGCTTTTGAAGCATGCTCTCCATTTGCTAAGTTATATGTGGAGAGTTGTGACCTCAACGCTTCTGGGGTGATTGAGCTCTTAAACACCCTTTCAAGCTTCAAGAGACCACTGGAGTCTCTATCTATTGCCGATAATTTCCTTGGCAGGTGTGTCTGAGTCTGACCACTTGCTTAGAAGTTGCATGTCATATATATATACATACTCTGGAGTTGTCTTTGGTTAATAATTTCCAATTTCCAGCAAAGTAGCAGCGGTGTTGGGGAAATTTTTGTCAACGTCAATTCAAGTACTTAATATTAGCGGTATTGGACTTTCTTCATCTGGGTTTGAAGACCTACAGCAAAGCATAACAAAGGAAGTGAAGCTAATTGGAATTAACATAAGGTTCAGGGTCCAGATCTCTTTTTCTTTTTCAATTTGTGTAATATTTCATGCCATAATATTTTATTGAATTATGTATAGCCGAAACCGGGGCGGGATTGCAACTGCAAACTTTTTGTCTACGCTCCTCCCACGGGCTCCAGAACTTGTTTTTGTCAATGCAGAATATAATTTTATGCCAGTTGAATCCTCTCGCATCATGTGCTCTGCCCTTAAAGCTGCAAAAGGTAATTGATCATTCATAATTACTAGAAAATTTCATTTGCAATTAAAATTTGCTGAATACTCTTTTGGATTACTGAAGAACAGCGCCTATTTGTCTCGAAAATTCCCTAGAAAAATTGTGCCTAATTTAGATAGAGCAGCAGAATATAATGTTTGGCTTTCATTGCTTCGGTATGCTTGCAACTATTGATACTTAAGCATATGTACTTGCATTTACTAGGTAATCTTGAGCTTTTAGACTTGACGGGAAACAATCTGGATTCTCAGACAATTCTTGGGCTTGCCGAAATTCAACGAAATGGAAAGCTTGCTTTGATTTTTTCATCCTTACCCGCCGCAGACGCGCCTTATGATGATGATCCCTAGATAGCCAAGATCCGACGTTCCACAATGTAATGTAAATTAGCCTTGTATATACTGCTCATCTTCCTCTGCCCACGTAGCAGAACAAGTAAATTAATAAATTTTGATATTTAATTTTTGTTTCCAGATAATCTTTACTCTTATCATATTTACTTGATCGGTTATTCAACCTATTTACATGCTTTAAGCATTCATCCTCATCAATTCTGTGCAATACAATTTTCTTCGATATGTCCTGTCCCGTCCCGGATGACACTTAAACAAGCACGAAGCTTTAGTTGAACTCTTTTAGCAACTTGATCTACCCTTCATTACGAAGTTTTAGCTATATGTTCATCTCTTTGTTTTGTGTTGGATCTGATCTCTTTTTCTCTGGCCATAATGGTGTCACTTTCCAAATGGGAATGCGACTGGTCAAAGATCTTAAGGCTTGTTCTTTTGGAGTTTAACTTGAGTATAATTCTTGAGTTGAATTTGAGTTATAATTTGAGTTGAACTTGTAATTTGAGTTTGTGTTTGGTTGTGTACATTTGAGTTATGGTTTGAGATAAGAATCTTTTTGAATTTGTGTTTGAGTAAGTCAAAATTTAAATTTATATTTAGATAGTATTTTAATAAAAACTCAATGCTGATGAAAAATTTAATAGGGTATATGGGTCGGGTTTTATTCGTCTTTTCATTGTCAACGCATAGAAAAAAAATCATCTCAATCAGAATTAAAACGAAAAAGTTATAGCATTTTTAAGAATAGAAAAAATGTTGTTCATTAATTTAAGTTCGAGTTTCTGAATTCGAGTTGAAGTGGAAACTTGAACTTGAGTTTTAGTTCTAAACTCGAGTTTGAACTCGAGTTTAAACTTAAAAGAACATGAACTCGAATAAAGTTATAACTCGAGTTGTATTTTTTTGAGTTTTTCACTCAAAAGAATAAGCTCTTAATTTTTCTTTTCTTACGTTGGCCCTGTTCATTTTGCTAATTCGAGTTTAGAATTCGAGTTTTGCTACAGTAAAAAGTTCTCACAAATAATCACATCTAATTTTTTTGCTACAGTAAAAAACTCTCACATAAAATCACATCTCAACTCGAATTAAAAACTCGAATCAGCGAACTAAACGGGTCATGTTCTGATCTACTATTCTACTTTATTGCAATTCAAAAGAGCATCATCATTTGCCTTTGCCTTAGTCTCTGCACTTACACAGCTAGAATTGTCGCTTTCTCACATTAGTCATTGTTTAAAATAGCTAGATAAACAGGTGAAAAAATTGCTTCCCAATCTCCGTCTACATCGAGCGTATATATAAGTATGCCAATCAGTAAGGTTTATTCTTATTTCACCTTTTTATTTCTATAAGTATGCTAATCTGCCTAACTGTAAAGATTAAACTACTTGTGACAGATTTGTGTTATTTATTTGGGTTCGTTTAGTTCGCTGATTCGAGTTTTTAATTCGAGTTAATATGTGATTTTATGTGAGTGTTTTTTACTGTAACAAAAAAGTTAGATGTGACTGTTTCTGAGAACTTTTTACTGTAACAAAACTCAAATTCTAAACTCGAATCAGCGAAATGAACGGAGCCTTAATTTAGTTGTTTAACTTGAGTGTGGAAGAAACTATCGCCATGAAGCGAAAGCGAAAGCCGATAACACGTTGCTTCCTTTTTTTCTTGAGCTGTGACCAAAAAGGGGTTGTTGGTTTGGCTTTGTCACGAAGTTAGCCTCTTTTTCTAGTTGGTGCTGTTTCAATTATCCCTTTTGTTTTATAATAACTTATCCCCTTCGTAAGCTCATTTAACAAACTCTAAGTTATGATGAGTTTGAAGTTTTGAGTGACCCGTGAACGAACAATTTTTGAGTATGTCTGGTTAAACTCGTTATCAATGTTGAAACGGACGATAAAAACATAGGTCCACAGCCATCCGAAACTGTCCAAACTTAGATACAATGTCGAAAGACAAGATAATAATGTTGTCATTATTTATTTTGTCTTTTATGATCACTTATTATTTGTACAAGAAAATGTGTCTATATATATATATATATATATATATATGCTCGGGATCCTAGGGATTCAGTTTGGTTTAGACCCTTGTATTGTTCTATAAACAATCAATATCAGTCATATGATGATTTTGGTCACTTGGGGAGAAAATGTTCTGAATAAGGGAGATTCTGCAGGAAATACTAAAAAGAAATACTTCAGAAAGGAAATCATAGAACACCTCTTGGAATGATAAAAGTTAAAATTGGGCACGCATTGCTATCAACTCAACATTTTGGTGGGTACATTTAACCAATTATTTTACTGAATGGTTCTGATTCAAAAATCATTTGGGAAAGTGATAAAGTTCTTGCTAGTTTTATCTGTTTGCTCTTTTCTTTCTTCTTTTTCCTTCTACTTTATTATAAAGCGTATGTGAGGCAAACCAAAAAAGCCTCAAAACCAAACGTGAGGCATGTTATTGCAAAAATGCTTTTAGCGGAAAGTATAAATTTGACTGTGAATTAGAAAGGAGGCCAACAAATAGAGGCAAAGATCATTCTCAAAACGGCGCATTGATGGGATTGCAAATGCTTAACACACACTACTAAATGTGCATAATTAAAAGGACTTTCTTTTTAGTTTATAGAACAAGACATGGACCTTTTCATTTCATGGCATAAAATGAGAAGAGAAATAGAGAATGGTCCATAAATCATAATCAACGAAACATATAAAAAATAAGATGGATGCGATTGGTGGTTTTTATGTTATGGAAGTTAAGGCACGAAGAAGATTTTTTTGCTCTTAATTTGTTGACGTCCATTAAGCAAGCTAATAATTTGCTTCTTTTAATCCTTGTTTTGTTTAATCCTATAAAAGCCGTGCAAATCTCCTCCCAGCATTTGCGACGAAGCGGCTATAATAAATAATAATAGTAATAACAACAACAAAATAGCGATAACAATAATCTTTTGAAACATGGAAATTGAGATGGTACTCTTTTGCAGCTATTATAATCTTTTTAGAGGGCACCGCCAAAAATAGACGCATTTCAAGAATTGATATGTGAATTTGACATTTTTTTTTTCCTTATAGTATTCCTCGTAATTATTCAATATAATAAAATAACCTATTATTGGCGTAACCTCATTAATTTTTATAATACATGTAAATATGAACAAAAAATATATCTAATAAAATAATTCAGGAGATAAAACGTAGTCAAGGATGAATGCCAATTAATCTATAATTTTTTCAAAAATAAAAAAAAAATATCACGTCACCTCATTAAAAAATAGAGATCCTCTAGTACACAATGTGTACCAATAGTTTAAGTTTTTTTAACCGTTAAATTTTCATACATTTTGGGCCTGTTTGTTTCCGGTCTCGTTTTTATTTTTCACAATTTTCGAGAAAAAAATTGAAAACGCG